GTCACTCCACAGATCACTCAATGGTCCATTTCCACAGGCACGATTGAGCTCAAACTGGTTTGGAGGTTGGGGCCAGCAGAGTTCTTTGCCAGGCCATTTGATATTGCTTGAGGGGTAGTTGCAGTTTCCATCATGGGATGCTATGCTTTTAGGTCTTTTGCCTGAGTTAAGAGATAAGCTGGAAAGAAAAGCTTAAGGAAAAATGTGGGGCAAAGGTTGGTGGGTATAAGAAGGTAAGTAGTAAAGGTCAGGTCTTGGGGTCTAGCTAGTGACATAATTTCAGTATGATTTTAGTTTGTATTTTCCATATATTGAGCATCTTTCTATGTGATTATTGACCAATCTTTTGTCTTTGTGAAGTATGTGTTGAACGCATGTCCCTGTTTTTTAAGTTTATTTATTTATTTTGGCGGAGGAGGGTAGAGGGCAGGAGAAGGGAGAAAGAGGCAGGGAGAATCATAAGCAGGCTCCATGCTGTCAGCGCAGAGTCCCACATGGGGCTTGAACCGACAAACCATGAGTGAGACGGTAACCTGAACCAAAACCAAGAGTTGGACACTCAACCGACTGAGCTACCCAAGGTGCCCCAAAATTGTGCCCATTTTTTAAAATGATTTTTAAAAATTATTGAGTTGTAGTGTTGTCAAAAATCAACCTTTGTGCTTCAGTTCCAAAATATAACACAAAAACAGAAGTTTGGAATACAGAGGAACAATAGCTTAATTGCTTTGCAGGGTAAAGGAAGCTGCAGCAGGCTATGGCTTTCAAAAACCGCAAGCCCCCCTCCCACCCACCCTCTCTACAGAGAAAGGGGCTGGGGAATTTTATAGGGAAATAGAGGATCTAGCCAGTTTGGACAAGAATTGTGTTTGTTTTCAGGGTGGTACTAGGTTCCTGAAACAAAAGGTTAAGAAGAGAGAAGGGAAGGTTTACTGAACTGAGGAGGGAAGATTTGAGGGAGAGAGGGAAGAGGTTACTCAGTTTAAAATAAAGCTTTGCTGAAGCATTTGTGCAGTCATTTTGATTTTTGTTCAGCTTTATGTGTTTTCAAAATAAGTTATTTATTTTTAAGTAATCTCTATACCCAATGTGGGGCTTGAACTCACAACCCCAGATCAAGAGTCATGCCCCTCTGACTCAGCCAGCCAAGTGCCCCTCAGCTTCGTGCTTTTAGGCAATTTCAATAGGTGTTCTTTAAATATTCTGACTAGAAGTCCTGTTTGGATATAGGCACCAAGATTTTTCCCCCTCAGTTTGTGATTTGCTTATTCATTTGCTTAATGTTATCTTTTGATGGATACGAGTCCCTTTTGATAATTTTGAATTTATCAACTTTTAAAAGTTGTATGGTCCTAAATATCATATGTTTGCACGTATAGGAGGATTAGGAGGAACTTGACGGAGGAACAAGGGGGAGAAGAAGGGCGGAAATGGTGGGGGAAAGGGAGAGAGGCAAACCATGAGAGACTCTTGAATGCTGACAAAAACTGAGGACTGATGGATGTGGGGGGGAGGGGGGATGGGCATGGAGGAGGGCACTTTGGGGATGAGCACTGAGTGTTATGTGGAAACTAATTTGACAATAAACTATTTGTAAGAAAAAAAAAAAAGTTGTATGGTCCTCCATTACCTACAGACCTTCTGCATGTCTCATAGAGTTTACTACGTGCTGTGTGCCCAAAGTGTGTAGAATATAAAGAGGAAGTGGTTAAATGGCAATTTTTAAAAATTGCTCTTAAATTGTTACAGAACCATAGTCCAGAACAGTGGTTTGAATTTAACTGAGCATAATCATTGTCCTTGAAATAGTTAAAAATAAGATTACTGGACTTCACTCCTACAGAATGATTTGGTTTCCTAGGTTCTGTGATACAGGCAGGTTTGGGAATCACTGATCTAGAAGTCCTTAATGCCTGGCCAAACTTAAAGCTATTCTATCTACCATTTTCTCAGTCAGAAGGTAGATCAGTGTTAATAGAAATGATCTGTTGGATTTTAATTGTTGAGAGCTGTTACCACCCGTGTCTTTCAATGTCCTTTGAAATAGTTAATTAGAAGGCACCAGGAGGAAAAACACTGAAAAACTTTACACAAAGATTCTGTTGTAATAACCATAATGCGTAACTGAATAAAATACTTCAGAACAGAAATCAAGTGCATGATCTTCCTGCTTTCCAACTGTGAGCTCTTGCTTTTCTTCTTCTAGAGAAATTGCAACAAGTATTCACAGGAAGTTTTTTTTGTTTCTTTGTTTCTTCTTCTTTTTTAAAAAATAAAGTGGTTCTCCTAATGGTTTTGTAATGGACCTTAACTTGGCTGGCAATTAAAGATGAAACTTCTCATTGGGTATTTTCAACACTGCCGGGGGAATCAGCTGCCAGTTTACTGGAATGTGGAAAACTGCATGAGATTCTGGGATTGGAATCAAAATGCTAATTTAAAAGGTCGAGTGAAGCTGAGGCTCACGTTTTTGTGTGCCTGCGCTCTCTTCAGGCAGAACAAAGACCCAGACAGAAGAGGCAGAGGCAGAGGCAGAGGCAGAGATTCATCCCAAATCTGTTTTCCTGAGATAATTTTGGAATCATGCCTGAAATGCCGGAGGACATGGAACAGGTAAGAGCTAGATATTCAAGAAATGAAGCATTATGGAGTTTCTTTTAAAAGCATCCCAGTGAATGGTAAAAACCAAAAGGGCGTGTTAAAAAAAAAAAGAAAAAGAAATAAGAAACGGGTGTCATTCATTTCTTTAAACCATGTAACTTTGTGACATGAAAGAATAAACCAACTTTAATTATTGACCCTGGGCACCAGGTTATGGAGAGCTCGGCTAAGTCTCATTAAAATTGCCAAAAATAAAATGCAAAGCAGAACAGCAGTTTCACTTACCAGATTAAATACAATGATCTAGGTGACGGTTCTATATAAGTAAGGATTTTATCTATAAAGTGCTCCAGACTTTCTTTGTCTTAGCATGAACTGAATCTGCTAACGTAACTTTTAGCTCCAGGCTGCTCTCTTTAAATTTATAGACTTAGCCACGACACGAAGTTGAATACTGTCTGTACAACAATGGCATTTTTGTTCAAAAACTTTCATCTTTAAAGAGAAGAATAAAAAAAACTATACATGAACATATGCCTTTATAACGATACGCAAGTTTTACCTGGGAGCTATCAAACCAGGCTCTCGAAGGTAGGCGAGAAAACTCTTGTTCCTAACTCTAGACAAGGCTGCTCAGAGAATTAAAAAAAAAAAAAAAGTAATTGCAAATGTAATTAAATTTTATTCACTTCACTTAATTTTTTTGTTACTAGAAAATTAGGTTGCATCACAACGTTGTATCTAGAAATTAAAAAAACAAAAAACTCCCAGTATTTAAAGGAGGAGGATTAGGATCTTAAATTTGCCTCTCCTATCTCCCACTCACATTCACCTTTCTCTTTGTCTGCAGATTATGAATTAGGACTGAGTAATGCTAAACTGATTAAGGGTAACAGCTTCCATAATAATAAAAATCGTAAAGTGAGGGGCCTCAGGTTCTTTTCCCCCAACGTTCCAAAAAAAAAAAAAAAAAAAACCAAACAAACCAAAACTGTTTACACGAATAAAGAACTGAATTCTTGTTGGGGGTTGGGCAGAAAGGAAATTCACGAGGCTCAGACAAAGGAAAACTTTTTAAAAGGCTGCTTAGTCTTTAGCTCTAAAGTAAACCAAAAGGGGTTATGAAAATAAGCCCTTTTAAGAAAAATCCAAGCAGCGGTCACATTTGTGGGACTTGATATCGTGTGTGTCTGAAAAAGAACACTCGGATTGGAGGGTGAAATGTTGGCGAACCTTACACGGTCTACGACGGGTTTTTTCCTTAGTAAATTTCACAGGCATCCCAACTGATGGGCATTTTGCTGTTCCGAGCTAGGAAGTAAACCAGTTGCCTGAGAGGTCGTTCTCAGCACTTGGAGATACTGTTTCTGATTTGTTACTTTTAAGAAGCCATACAGGTGACGGAAGATGTAGACATTACTGTGGTTTCTTCTTTAATTTACGGTGGCTGCGCACGGCCTGAGGGGGCAGCCCTTAATGTGATGCTTCTCAAAAGAGGTCGGTGGGGTTCTGACTCCTGTTAAATACGCAAAAATGTAGAGTCCCTGGTTCTATTACCACTGATTCTCATTCTGTAATTATAGGTGAAGTCCGAGAATCTGCGTTTTGAAGAGGCACCCAAATAATTCCTCCCCTTCGCCCCTTCTTTTTAATTTTTTCTTAGTTTATTGTAAAGTTAGTTTCCATATAACACCCAGTGCTCATCCCCACAAGTGCCCTCTCCCATGCCCATCACCCCCTTCCCCTCCACCCCATCAGCCCTCAGTTTGTTCTCAGCATTCAAGACCTCTTTTTATTTTTAACTAGTTAAAAATAGTTTGATTTATTTGGAACTTGACATGTACTACTTTTTAGCAGACCAGAAGGACAAATGGGTTGTTGAGGTTGTTAATGATTAAGATGCCAGCACTTGTATTTTTACTCTTCGTCTTTCTCTAAAAAAAAAAAAAAAAAAACAACACTCCTAAAAGCTGTACGTCCACTGTGCTCCCTCCTTTCCTTCTTACGCAAACACAACCCATGGCTTTAAAATCTTTTCTCCTACTTTACGTATTACGTGCTCAGTTGATTCCCATGTACTGCGCAGTCTGCAAACTTGAAACTCCAGGCGATCCAATTTAATCCTTCCCTAGCCAAGAAGAGAGACGAGGAGAGAAAATACATAAAATAAACAACCTTCCCCAGAACAAAACTCGTATTCACTGCTTAAGGCCAAGGTCTTTTTTTGTGTATCCCTTTAAGAGCTGGCGGGTGGGCGGGCAGCGCACAGAACGCTGCCCGGCCCCTTTCTGAGGCATCCGCGGAGTGTGGCCAATCAACGGGCGCAGCCTTGGCGGCGGAAGCCGGAAGCAGTGAGCGGGGGGCCGGCCCGGACCTAGGGAGGCGGGCCGAGGGTGAGGAAGCTGCGGCCCTTGGCGCTCCGGGGCAGGAGGAAGTGGCGGTCGCCGCGGCGGCGGCGGCGGCGGCGCGAAGACGGCGGGCATGGTGGGGCGGGAGAAGGAGCTCTCCATCCACTTTGTTCCCGGGAGCTGCCGGCTGGTGGAGGTGAGGGAGTCGACCTGGGCGGCTCGTGCAGCCGGGAGTGCAGCGTGGGATGAGCCACGTCGGGGGGGAGGGGGCCTCGACTGGTTTACCTTGCGCATCCTGCAGCTATCCGAGCCCCCAGCCCGGAGTCGCCCCAGCACCTCCTTTCTAGCTCCGGGAGGAGAGGGCGGCGCCACCGAGTTTGTTTACCTCGGCACACAGCCGTTTGTGTCGGCTCTTCCAGCCCTGCGGCAGGAAAGGAATAGATCTGGTTTCACTCCCTTCTAGAGAAGTTTTTCAGAGCTGTTTCGATTTTGGTTTTATCTTTCTGTGTTTTTTTTTTTCGTTCTTTGATCGTATTCCTCGATCTTACCAGTTCTTATCGCTGAGAAAGAAGGCGAAAGTGGCTTTTCAGAAACGGCAGTTTTAGAGATAACAACTTACTGAACTTGTGAGTTTTGTGCAGTGCACTATATTATGCACTTTACAAGCATTGTTTAATCGTCATAACTATGAGATAGGGGTTTTGCTCCATTTTACGGATGAGAAAATTGAGGCTTGTTGAGTCCTTGGCCCAACCAAGTTCATTCAGTTGGCTTGGAGCTGACAAATTTCTTTCGCTTTCTCGGGCTTTGAACCACTCCAAAGGTTGCTTTGGACAACAAAAAGGAAGGAACATAAAGGAAGGTTGTTAGTGTGGGAGAGCTATCCCAGGTATCCCCCTTTCTGCATTCTCTCTCTTATTTCAGTCCAGGCCTCAACATTCTATCCACAGAATTGCTAGAATTTATCTAGCAGTGGAGATAAGAATGTTAAAGCCTAGACCAGTTATGTTTTGCGGAAGTAAGAGATCTGGGAGGTGGATGTTTTTGATAATGCAGAAGTTTTACACTGTGCTCCCTCCCTTCCTTCTTACACTTCTAGGATATAGCATAGTGTTTCTAATCATTTTGGGATTAGTGGGGTAAAGTTAAACTTAACGTATTGTCTGTATTTGCTCCCAAAAGTACTGAACGTATAATGTTACATATTGTTTATATAGGCATAGCGTGTATGTAAAGTTAATCTTTTTTTCACAGTGGGAGTTCAGTAGACTAATGAAAATAGGTTTTCATGATTTCCTTCATTAAAAGCGATACACCCTGAATCTTTGTGGGGTTCTTTTTTTTTTTTTAGGATTTTTTTTTAAACTTGAATGTAATCTGTATGCTCATTGCAGTGCTTGAACTCAACAGTCCTGAGATCCAGAGTTGAATGCTATACCAACTGAGCCAGCCAGGCGTCCCCACCCTGAATCTTGACACATATTTGCTGGTCTCTGAAAACATGTAGAATTAAAATTCACTTGAGATAATGAGGACTGCCTTACATACTGTTGGAGAAGACAGCTGCAGTGTTACCTGCTTACACTGCCGTGTAGGATAGGAATCGAGTAACAGTAGGAGTTAGACCAGGGTCGCCTAGGTACTCACAGGATTTTGAATTTCTTGAGTCCGGGTACTGTCTACTTAAAAGATCTGCCTCCAGGGGAATGTTGTATGAGGATCAGTAAAAACCAAACAAACAAAATAACCAGAAACTGCCAAATTTGAGAAGTTCCAAATAGCAAAGTATTATATTTGCCACTAAATTGTAAGAAAATCTCTATTTAGATGTTAGTCTTTTCTAAGACATTTTTAGTAGAAGTTAATGCAAGTATTGCTAAAGTAGAAATCATCCCAGAGTACTATGCCCATTTGGAAAGAACCATTTATCTCATTACCTGTAGTTTGCTATCATTTGATTAGGTAGCATAATAAAAGTGGTAATTCTACATTTATTTATATATATTTAACTTTTCAGGAAATTTTTTGATGTCTATCAATCTGGTCACTTGAAGTTCTGCACTTGTAAGAGTTTATGCAGGGCATAGCAAAGAGGTTCAGAGTAACTTAAAGTGATGCTTGATTCTTGACATATTAATGAAGTAGACTTTTCAGGCAGACACTATTTTCAACTCTTTATTGTGGTTTGGGTTCACTAGAAAGCTTTTTATTCTTCATTCTGAGTTTTTTGAAGTGCGTGGACATTCCTGTGTTTAGCAGGACTAAAATATTTTATGAAGTAATGGTCCAAAATAATTTTTTAGAGGGATATTTCTTTTCTTGTGAAAATAAAAGAATCAAAACTGTGTTTTTAAAAAGCTTAAGGTAGATTTCTGTTTATATATAGAAAAATCAAAAATAGAAGAGCTAATTTTGTTTGGCATATTTTATTTGCCAACAACCAATAAATTTGCAGTCCAAATGAAAAAAACCATGTCTTGGCTCCTATACTGGTGGACAGAAGGTGCTCATTGAGTCTCTAGATAGAACTCTGAAGAGGAAAAATTACTTTAAGTAAATAAAGCTCCTTTCACTCTTTTCATGCTCTGTCCACTCTGTGTTAAGAATAATGTTGAAAATGTTAAAGTTGTATGAAGAGCCTTAGTCATCTTGTCCAGGTGAGGAATTTGATCAATAGAGACTTCAGTAACTTCCCAATACCATGTTTTGTGGCAGAACAGTTAAAATTTAATCATTATGAAGTCAAATAGATCAAAAGATTAAGACAAAACTCAGTATATATTTGGCTAGACCACAGAAGCAAGTTCTGTTCCCAACCTTTTCCATTTTCCATAAAACCTTTAACATCTTGGGGCTTCAGATTCCTCAATTTGGAAATATTTACATGTTTAACAAGGCTGTCTTATGATCAAAAAGTATCATATAGCCTCATGTAACACTCCATAGTTTTCAAATATAATATAATGCAGTATCATTTTTGTTTTAGGAAATGGTTACACTTCAGATGTCTGCTATTTTAATAAAGAAAATTCTTGAGAATTGACATCTGACCACTAGGTACCATGGACTGTTTCATATTTTCTTCTGGGGACCATGCAAGTTACCCCAGAGGATAAGGATACTAGGTGGTATTTTTTCCTCGCAATCTCATCCTTTTTTAAAGTTAAGCGTATTCAATTCCCAAAGAGCCTTGCTGTGCTTGTAATTTAATACTGTATTTCATCAAATCCAAATTGTACTTGATTATAAGATCATCTGGGTTCTTTTTTTTTTTTTTTTTTTTTTTTTTTTTAGTTTTTTTAATATTTATTTCTGAGAGAGAGAGAGAAAGACAGCATGAACAGGGGAGGGTCGGAGAGAGAGGGAGACACAGAATCTGAAACAGGCTCCAGGCTCTGAGCTAGCTGTCAGCACAGAGCCAGATTCGGGGCTCGAACCCACGAACTGCAAGATCATGACCTAAGCGAAAGTCGGACGCTCAACCCACTGAGCCACCCAGGTGCCCCTGGGTTCTTATTTTAAGATGCACTAAAAAGCAAAAACCACTGCCAGTCTAGGACAGTAATAAGATGCATCTCTATTTCATTCAACAGGGATGTAAAATGAAAAGGTATTTCACAGAATCAATAAAGTATGCAGAGATTTGAGTTCATTCTTCAATAACCTTTGTGAAATGAGTAATGCTTGTTTGACTTTTTTTGTTTGTTTTTCTTTTTTAATGGGGGAAGTGAGAAGGAAAGATTGTAGTTGCTTTTAGAAAGGTAGACACCAATTTTTTGGCTTGTTCAAATAAGATAAATTTATCTTTAGGAAAATCTTGGATTTTTCCTGGAGTTCAAGATTACAGTTGTCAGGGCAGTTCCCAAATCACTATCATCAGCACATTTCCTGGCAATTTGTTAAATGTAAATTATCAGGATTTACCCCAGATGTACTGGATCTGAAAGCCTCAGTCATGGTTCTTATCCATAGTAAAGCCTCAAACCACTAACCTAAGAACTATTCTATATTCCTTTACTTCTTTAAAATGAGGTAATAGAGTGAGAAACTCTGAAGAAACCAAATTGTAGCTTTTTGTAATATTTTCCCAGGGATACTTTATGGTATTCTGTGTAAATTGTTTTCTAATTGTATCTATTAGACCTGGCATGTTTTCTTAACAATTTAGTCTTTGTAGAGCTCTTTTCTTGCCAAAATTCAAAGAAAATATTTTGTTGGCTGAAATCCTTGTTTTCATAGATCAGTTGGCTTACAGCCAAGTTTTACACCAGAGAGCCTAGATGAATTTTACTTCAATTTTTAAAATGTTTTGAAATTGGTTGCACTAAGGAAAACATATCTTCAAAAAATTTACCTTTGTACTGTTTCTGCTAGCTCTTTCATTTCAGGTTTTTCCTATGGTAGAAATAGATAATTTGGTGGGTTTTTTTGTTTGCTTTTTTATGTATACTGCCAAGTTATTATGCTGACCTAAGGGCTAACAAAGAGATTTTTACTTATTGTATGCTTGCTTAAAGTTTTTGACAGCTCAGAAGAGATGACTATAACAGCACTTGAAATAAAAGACCTCAAATTGATAAAATTTACGAAAACTTTTTTTTTTTAAGTAGGCTCCACACCCAAAGTGGGCTTGAACTCACAACCCTGAGATCAAGAGTTGCATTCTTTACCAACTGAGCCAGCCAGGCACCCTTAATAAAACTTTGTTGGTGTTTTTTTTAAATAGTAAATGTTGATTTTATCCAAGTCTTGGAAATTTGGGAAGAAGGGAAATTTTAAAACTGCTTTGGCAACAACGTATTTTCTAAATAGTTCCTTTTAATTTCATTGTGTAAAGAATTTTTTCTTTCACAAGAGCAACATGTCACTTTAAAATATTTCTTTTTTTTCCTCATGTTTAATTTTTTTTTTGTGTCCTCTTGTATTAGTTTTTTTTTAGGTTTATTTTTGAGTGAGAGAGCGAGCACGAGTGGGGGAGGGGCTAATAGAGGGGGACAGAGCATCCGAAGCAGCTTCTGCACTACAGCACAGAGCCAGATGTGGGAATTGAAATCGAGAGACACAAGATCATGACCTGAGATGAAGGTGGACACTTAACCCACTGAGCCACACAGGTCCCCTTGTCCCTTTATGTTAGTTTTAACAGGTCTAATTAAGATAAATTTAGAGTTACTCAGGAACATTTACTGATTAAACTTAGAAATGCTTTTATTTAAACCATTGGTTAAATTTGAATATTTGCTTTGGTAAAACTTAGAATATTATTGCTATTAGGACCATATTTATTTTTCCTCCACATAAAGACCTGTGAAATGTGAATTCCTTAACTCAGATGTATCAAAATATAAATCAGTGAAATGTGAAAGAAAATTTGAGGTTATAAACTGAAGACCAGAAATGTCAACTTGTGAGTTTATTGTGGAATACAGCCAAATTCATCAGGCCATAAAAAATAAGTAAGCTTCAAACTAATTGTGCATTTTATAAACTGGAGAATGTAATTAAAATTGCTGTTTGTTTATTTGGACATCACTTGTTTATTTGGACATCACTCATCATTAAAATAAGATTTTCCAGGGGCGCCTGGGTGGCTCAGTTGGTTAAGCATACAACTTTGGCTCAGGTCATGATCTCACGGTTCATGGGTTCGATCCCCGCATCAGGCTCTGTGCTGACAGCTCAGAGCCTGGAGCCTGCTTTGGATTCTGTGTCTCCCTCTCTCTCTGCCCTCCCCTACTTGTGCTCTGTCTCTCTCTGTTTCAAAAATAAACAAAAAAATTAAAAAATAAAATAAGATTTTCCATTATTAATATAGGAAATCGGGGCACCTGGCTGGCTCATTAGGTACAACATACAACCCTGGATCTTGGTGGTGTAAGTTTGAGCTTCATATTGGGTCTAGAGGTTACTTAAAGATATTTTAAATTTATTTGTCTTCAGAGAGAGAAAGAGTGTGTGCATATAAGTAGGGAAGGGACAGTGGGAGAGGGAGAGGGAATCCCAAGCAGGCTCCACACCTAATGCGGGGCTCAAACCCACAAACTGTGGGGATCGTGACCAGAGTAGAAATTGAGGGTCAGGCAACTAACTGACTGAGCCATCATGGTGTCCCCCAAATAAAATATATTTAAAAAAAAGGAAATTTAAATCTAATTGACTAGGTATTTCCTTACAGTATCATTTTAGGTTCTTTTTCATGGACAGGACTGATAAAACTTTTTAAGTGATACAATTATTGATGCAGTGTGTTTTTATACTAACTGAAGAGTTGTCTAATAGATGTAGGACATGAAGCAAACTTCTTAAAGTATTCAGTGAACAATGATGGTGACTCATTGCATAGAATATTTTCAAAGTGAGTAATCCTATTTTCTCCCATTTCACCTTTTAGGAGGAACTTAACCTCCCCAGTAGGCGAGTTTTGGTTACTGGTGCCACTGGGCTTCTGGGCAGAGCTGTGTATAAAGAATTTAAGCAGAATAATTGGCATGCCTTAGGCTGTGGTTTTAGAAGAGCAAGACCAAAATTTGAACAGGTTAATCTTTTGGATTCTGAAGCAGTTCATCACATCATTCATGATTTTCAGGTATGGTTGAGTCTGTTTATTTTAGCACATATATAAACTATGTTAAGAATTGACTGGATGGGGGGCGCCTGGGTGGCTCAATTGGTTAAGCGTCCGAATTCAGCTCAGGTCATGATCTCATGGTTTGTGGGCTTGAGCCCCGTGTTCGGTTCTGTTCTAACAGTTCAGAGCCTGGAGCCTGTTTCAGATTCTGTGTCTCCCTCTCTCTGACCCTCCCCTGCTCACGCTGTCTCTCTGTCTGTCTATCTGTCTGTCTCTGTCTCTTTCTCTCTCTGTCTCAGAAATAAATTTTTAAAAAAAAATTTAAAAAATAAATGATTGTTCTAAAAGATTTGAGTTTATGAATTTAATTTGAATTTTGTATTCTCCCTTTAATGCAGATTTATTAAGTATTTAGGTCATATTAATTACATAAATATTAGTTCTTGTCTCCCACCCAAATTAGAGGACAAAGCTTATTTTGATTGAGAAGTAATAGTTGTTGACACTGATTTTGGTTTTGCCTGGGGATTACTAAACTGCTCTTTTCTCTCCAGGACCTATCTATTTGTTAAGGAAGTTCGAAACTTGAAAAAGGGAAGCATGACAAAATTACATTAAACATTACAGCAATTCTTTAGTTGAAGGAATGTTGATTTAACAAACTTTTTTTTTTTTTTTTAATGAAATGAGTTACTTTTGGAAGGCTGTAGCTTCTCTGTTTTATTCCTTTTGGTTTAAAACTACATCCCTGTTTAACTTCCAGCCCCATGTCATAGTACATTGTGCAGCAGAGAGAAGGCCAGATGTTGTAGAAAATCAGCCAGATGCTGCTTCTCAACTTAATGTGGATGCTTCTGGGAATTTAGCAAAGGAAGCAGGTAATGATGACTTTATAAAATCTACATGAAATACTAAATAATTGCTGAGTTTATAAAGATTAGCATTTTGTAGGTTGCTTATAAGAGGTTTGTTTTATATATGAATAAGCTGTTATAAATACCAGTACAGAGTAATGTTGTGTAATAATTTCATAGATTATGTTTTTTCTGTCATGTCTTTCCTTTTTAGCTTTAATTGGAGCGTTTCTGATCTACATTAGCTCAGATTATGTATTTGACGGAACAAATCCACCTTACAGAGAGGAAGACGTACCAAATCCACTAAACCTGTATGGCAAAACAAAATTAGAAGGAGAAAAGGCTGTCCTAGAGAACAATTTAGGTAAGACGATTTCTTTAGCCCCTGATTGTTTTGAGGATTCCTTTCGTTTATAATATATACATATATGACATATATTATATTTATGTAAATGATATATATAATGTTTTTTAAATTTTGAAAAAATCAAGTGACATAAATCATTGGAGAAAAATTAGAGAAGGCAGTTAATAAAAAAGAAAAATAAGAATTTAGAAATCATGAAGAATTTATGAATCTTTACAGACTTTCCAGAAATAATATATACATAAATGCCATATTCTAGGGGCACCTGATGGTGCTCAGCCCATAGAGCATGTGACTCTTGATCTTGGGATTGTGAGTCCAAGCCGCACATTGGGCATAGAGCTTACTTAAAAAAAATGTTACTGTATTTAAAAAAAGAAGTCTTAATAGCATAAATATTTGTAATCTACTTTCAAAAAACAGGTCAGTATCATTTCTCCTAGATTGAGGTATTTGTTATATTTTTGTATGGTTTTTATTTTTAGTACTTTATTTTTATCTTTTTATTTTAAAAAGAGGTGGGGAGAGAGAGAATCTTTTTTTCTTTAATGTTTATTTAATTTTGAGAGAGAGAGACAGAGTATGAGCCAGGGGAGGAGGGTCAGAGAAAGAGGGAGACAGAATCTGAAGCAAGCTCCAGGCTCCAAGCTGTCAGCACAGAGCCCAATGCGGGGCTTGAACCCACGAACCATGAGATCACTACCTGAGCCAAAGTTGGACACTTAACCAAACCAGCTGAGCCACCTAGGCACTCCAGGAGAGAGGGATCCAAAAGATTAATCTGTTCAAATTTTGGTCTTGCTCTTCTAAAACCACAGCCAAAGGCATGCCAATTATTCTGCTTAAATTCTTTATACACAGCTCTGGATGGCTCAGTCAATTAGTTGCCCGACCCTCAATTTCTAGTCAGGTCATGATCCTACAGTTTGTGGGTTCGAGCCTCGTATTAGGTGTGGAGCCTGCTTGGGATTTCCTCTCCCTCTCCCTCTGTCCACCCCCTGTACTTACACTCTTTGTCTCTCTGAAGACAGATAAATTTAAAATATCTTTAGGTAACCTCTAGACCCAACATGAGGCTCAAACTTACACCACCAAGATCCAGGGTCGCGTGTTGTACCTAATAAGCCAGCCAGGTGCCCCGATTTCCTAAATTATCATGCAAGAATCATCCTTGAATACATATTTGTACACAGTTATCCAATATGTTGATTTAATTAAAATAGTTTGTGGGGTGCCTGGATGGCTCAGTTGGTTAAGCTTCTGACTTCGGCTCAGGTTATGATCTCCTGGTTTGTGGGTTTGAGCTCCGTGTTGGGCTCTCTGCTGTCAGTGTGAAGCCTGCTCTGGATCCTCTGTCTCCCTCTCTCTGTGCCCCTCCCTGCATGTGCCCGCTCTCTCAAAAATAAAATAAAACGTTTGAAAAAAAAAAAGTTTGTTAATTTTCAGTTAAAGTGTTAATTATCCAAAGTCTGTTGTGACAGCTCATTAGGGACCAACATGAAATCTAAATATATCATTATTCCTTACTCAGTGGTTTCAAGAATTATGTGGTGAAACATTCACATAACCTTTATATAGATTCACCACTTGTTAACCTTGTACTATGTGTGGTTTTTGTATGTTTTTCTTGTTTTTTTTTTTTTTGCTGAGCTTACTGAGTATTGGTCGAATTTCACCCCAGAATAGTTCATTATGCCAAGGATCTTCTAACAAGAATGTTCCTTACATAATTGCAGTGTGGTTATCACACTCAGGAAATTTAACATTAATACAATGTTATATACTATAATGTATTGTGTATATAGGAATTTTCCCACTGGTCCCAATAATGATCTTCATTGCATTTTATCTTGTATTTATTATTAATTCTTAATAAGTCAAGGATCACTTACTGTGTTTAGTTGTCATGATTAGTTTCATTTCTTCATTACTAGGATTGCTGAAAATAATATATAAAAATACCCCAAGTGATAGAGACCCTTATAAATACACAGTATCACATTTTTGAATGGGCCTTAGTACAGAGGAGGTGTATGTCATTTTGGTATACTGCACGTTTTCTACCACAATCTAGTTTAAATTCACATACTTTCAATTTATATCAAGACTTAAGAATCAGTTCTTTAAAAGATAATCTGTTTTTATTAATTTGTAGGAGCTGCTGTTTTGAGAATTCCGGTTTTATATGGAGAAGTCGAAAAGCTTGAAGAAAGTGCAGTGACTGTTATGTTTGATAAAGTGCAGTTCAGTAACAAGTCTGCAAACATGGACCACTGGCAGCAGAGGTTCCCCACACATGTCAAAGATGTAGCCACTGTGTGTCACCAGTTAGCAGAGAAGAGGATGCTGGTGAGAATCTTGGGAAGGAAGAATTTCTGATTTCCACCAATGAGTGAAAGTCCAAAGTGTTTTTGCTTTCGCTAATATTTCTTTCTTTTTAAAGAAATGGAAAGTCATTGAGGATTTTTTTTTTTAAGTTTATTTATTTATTTTGGGGAAAGGAGAGATCATGTCCACACAAGTGGGGAGGGGGCAGGCTGAGAGAGAGAGAGAGAGAGAGAGAGAGAGAGAATCCCAAGCAGTTTTTTAAATAAGGTTTTATTTAAAACTCCTTAGAGCTACAAAGAGACCAAACACAAGTAGTTTGCAGTAGTAGGCTATATTTATAAATAGTAAAAATATTATGCTCTTGTGTTTGAATTTATTTTTTCATAGACTGTCTGTCATTCTTTTATTGCAAAATGACTAGAGACTTGTATTTTTTTCTTTGGATGACAAAATAATCTAATGTCTTTAAGACATTACTCTGTTACAGGGCACCTGGTTGGCTCATTCTGTAGAGCATGTGACTCTTGATCTCAGGGTTGTAAGTTTGAGTCCAATGTTAGGTGTGGAGATTACTTAAAAATAAAATCTTTACCAAAAAAAAGTTACTCTGTTTAAGATCTGTGTAGTGCCAAATAAGAATGTATCTACATAGGAATTTATAATTCAGCCATTTTAAGAATGATTTGTAATTTTTTTAGATATTTGAATAGGAGTTAATTTTAGACATGAAAAAGTTGGAACTAAATAGAGTATTCATGGAAAGATGAGAGACTGATTTACTTTAGTAAGTTTGTCTATAGTTTTTTAACACATAAAAATTTGTATTTTAAATATGTGTTATACCAGTATTTAATGATGTTATGACTAATTAGCTCATCCTGCGAAATGATTCTATTCAGTTTTGGTTTTAGCTTCTTAGGATAATTAGAAATATCCATTAAATTGGCCTGTTTCCATAAAAATCTGGCATCATTTTTAGGATTCCCATTAAATAAAATTGGAGCCATTTATATTTTTATTTAAAAAAATTCTTAAGCCTAAATTCAAGAAGTTGCTTCTCATGTTTAGCTGGGTATATTTATAGGAATTTGATTTTCGATATCCTGTGGAGAGCATTCCAGAAAGGGATGTGTTTCAATTCTTGGACCTTTTAAATTAGCTTTTTTGTCACACCTACCTTTCCAGTCAAATGAAAAAGTTGATTCTGTTTTGAATTCTTGTGTCCTTCTTAGGATCCGTCAATTAAAGGAACCTTTCACTGGTCTGGCAACGAACAGATGACTAAGTATGAGATGGCATGTGCAATTGCAGATGCTTTCAACCTCCCCAGCAGTCACTTAAGACCTGTAAGTCCATGACATTTTATTTTATTTTATTTTTTTTAAGGTTTTATTTATTTCTAGGAGAGAGAGAGAGAGACAGCGTGAGCAGGGGAGGGTCAGAGAGAGAGGGAGTCACAGACTGAAACAGGCTCCAGGCTCTGAGCTGGCAGTCAGCACAGAGCCTGACGCAGGGCTCGAACCCACGAACTGCAAGATAATGACCTAAACGAAAGTCGGATGCTTAACCGACTGAGCCACCCAGGCGCCCCCCCATGGCATTTTAAACATGACTTGTTGAAAGCCCAGATCGGTCACAATAGTATGGATGGTTGATGAAATTTTTCTTGTTACTTTGAAAATAGTGAATAACTTTATTTTCTGGTACAAATTAAAGTTCACTTTGCTTGCTTGTTGGCAGTTTATATTGTTACTCACCTCTAAATCCTCATTTGCAAGGAAGCAAGCCCATAAGTACTGGTGAAGTTTATACAAAAAGTATTATCTTAATTGTTTATTTGTGCATTTTTCCGGGGATCTGATCAGATTTGCAGTAAGGACAGAGTCAAATAGAGAATACAAAACCTCAATATGGGCTTCTTACTTCTTTTAAAATTTTTTTTGGTTTATATTTTTCTTTAAAGATAACGGACAGTCCTGTCTTAGGAGCACAGCGTCCAAGAAATGCTCAGCTTGACTGCTCCAAATTAGAGACCTTGGGCATTGGCCAGCGGACACCGTTTCGAATTGGAATCAAAGAATCGCTCTGGCCTTTCCTCATCGACAAGAGATGGAGACAAACGGTCTTTCATTAGTGTATGTGCAGTTTGCTTTTTTCTAAATTGAGAAGTATAGTATGTGGCACTTTTTAAAGAAAAAAAGGAAATAGTTTTGTATGAGTGCTCTTTAATTGTGACTCATGATCTTTCAGGTAAATGTTGCTCTTGCACTAGTGAAATTGTCTAAAGAAACTAAGGGCAATAATGCCTCATTTGCAGTAATGATTTTTCTGTTTATCGTTTTGTTTATTCTGGCTTAACTTTGAGTATAGTAAATTATGATTCTTAAATATTTACGAGGCAGGAGGAGACGGATCTACTGTAGACTTTCTCTTGGATGAAATGCATTGGTCATTCCTATAACCTCTACATTTTCAGGACTTTTGCAGCTGTTGACCTTTTTATGTTTTAAGATGTGTTAAGTAGTATGAAAATCATTGGTGTTCATTATTTGCATTGCTTGAGCTCTGATCAAAATGTTTGAAGAAAGAAACTTTATTTTTGCAACCTAAGTACAGTTTTTAAGCTTGAGATATTTCAAATGGTTATGTGTAATTGGAACTCGTGCAGCTTGATGCCTCCTGCTTTTGTAGCAGTGTATGGTGGGCACTTGACAGAGAGAGTATGTGTGTATGTGTATGTATTTTTTTAATGTGTAAAACTGTCCTTTTCACTCCATGTCACTAAATGATATTTCATATCTGTGGTTATACTAATAATGGGTCTTGTAAGTCTTTTGGGCCATTCATGAATAATAATAAATATGTACTGCTGGCATGGTAATCCTTAGTTTCCTTTTATTCACTTTTTAAATGTAAGGACTACACATCTAAACTCGTTATTTTGTTGCTTTAAGTTTTAAAAATTACATTCTTCTGTTAACATCTGATGCATATATGAAAATATAGTTACTTTCGAGATTTATAAAACAATAATAAAATGAACCCTGGTGAACTCACTTGAGATTCAGAATGTGACAGATACTGTATTTACTTTTGCCAGTTGATTGTTTTTTAACTAGACATAACTATGTAATCATGCTACATGTTTGCATAGAATGTTCCTTCTGAGGAATGCAGAGTATTTGAATGTGTTATCAATACCAAGTAATATTCAGGTGACCTTAGCCTCAAGGATATGTTTGGTTCTTAGTAAGGATTTAGAATGGTGGAGTGACTTGTTAATGACTTGGCTTCTACTCAGGCGTCAGTGCAAACCCTGGTTTTAGATTTTTTGATTTTGCTTCTGAAGTATCCTTCCTAGGTTATGATCATATCCTTCATTGGACAAAACATACTCGTTTCTGAGTTCCTAATTTACTTATAGTTTTAGATTTAGAGAGAATCCGGTTTGGGTAACTTGGTTAAAGCACCAATTTCCAAACCATGTTATATTTCCGAATTAGGGAAATTTAGGGATACCTGACCCCTAACCTGGACCTACTGAAATAGAATTTCTGGAATCGAGGACTGCTAATCTAGTTTTAAATTTTCCCTGGATGTTTCTAGGGGTAGCCAGCCTGGCACTTGCATTTACAACCACTGAATGAAAGCATTTTTTTTTTAAGTTACTTAATTTCACAAAGTACAAAATTGAAAAGTTTCAGCATAAAAAACCTTCCTCGTTCTTCTCTAGCTACTGACTTTCCATCTGTGGAAGAAACCAGTGTAGATCAGATCCTTGTATGTTTCTGCAGGCACTCTGTATCTTTAAGAATACACTCACTACATATGTGTGTGTACATACATGTCATCATCCCCTCTTTATAAAAGTAGCTAATGTGCATTTTTCTAAATTAAATTTAATATATCTTAGTTTATATTAGTTATAAAGAATGTCTCTGGTTTTGTTTGTTTTTTACAATTCACTTTGAAATTTTGATCTTTTTTTAAAAAGATTTTAAGCAATCTCTACCAAAGTAGGGCTCAAACTCACAGCCCCAAGATGAAGAGTTAACACGCCCCCACCAAATGAGCCAACCAGTTACCCCTGAAATTTCAGTCTTAAGTGAAAAGTTGCCATAATAGCACAAAGAGTGTCTGTATCCTCCCTTCCATATTTCCTATTAACATTTAGCCATATGTATCGTATCATTTTTTCTTTCTCTGACACAAAGTATGGTTTTTTCCTGAACCATTGAAGAATAAGTTGCAGACATGACTTCTAATCATCTACTTAGTATCTAAATGTCAGTGTATAATTTCTAAAACTCAGGATGCTCTTCTACATGACCCCATAATGTAACCATCAAAATCAAGAAATGAGTATCGATACAGTATTACCCAGTCCACAGATCCTGCTCACATAAGTTGTTCCCAGTAGTGTCCTTTAGAAGTCTGTCCAATCCAGGATAACTCACGGCATTTCTTATCATTTTTCAGCTTCAACCTGGAACAGTTCTTCAGGGTTGTTTTCTCTTCATGATCTTGACTTTTCTGACATCTCTCTATGACAAACTAAATTCACGCTGATACTCCATTGCCAATATTCTTTTCTGTGTTTATAGCTCCGTTCTCTGACAGAAACCTAGCTCCATTATTCTTAATGTGCTTACTAATTGACTCAAATCCTCTATAAGAACTATTCTTGGGGCAGCTGGGTGGCTGTGTTGAGCATCCAGCTCTTGATTTCAGCTCATGGTTGTGATCTCGCAGTTCATGAGTTCAAGATCTGCGTCTGACTCTGCACTGGCAGTGCCCAGCCTCCTTGGGATTCTGTCTCCTCTCTCTCTCTTCTTCTATCCAAATAAATTTTTTTAAAAAATAAAAAAAAGAACAATTCTTCTGATCTGATCACACAAAGTTCTTCTGCTACCCTCATCATAGACCTCCATGAGCTGGTTGAGCATGCCTGAACTCTGCACCATGGCCTATTTGAGGCCACAACTTTCCTCTCCCAGCTGATGAGGCACCACACCAAGAGCCACAGAAGCACCACATACATGCAGAGCACCAAAGAAGGAACTAGGTATTCTTTCATGGCCATATATATACCATTCTATCGTGAATGAACCAGAGTTTATTTAATCTGTTTCTTGATGATTTGCTATAGGTTGTTGGAATTTTAGAGCATGCTTTTAATGAGCCCAATGTATAAAATATTCAAGTTAGTGAGACCTTCTTTTCTACTATATATCCACAGATTATACCTGTAAGTTCACAGGTATATTCTACAGGTACTGGATATATCAGTCTGTGGAATAAGAGTGAATTCAGAAGAAATTCATTGCCAAAATAGGAAAAGAGCTTGAAATGGGTCTTAGTGTATGAAGAAAAGTGGAAATGGGAAACCTCCAACTGTCCAATAAAACCTTTAGGAGAAATTACTGTTGGAGTCTAAATTAAATTATCTCTTTGAAAACCAAATCATATCATTAGCCATAAATAAGGTAGATTTAATTCAGTTATGTAGGTTAGTCAAAAGAATTTTCTGACTTGAGGGCAGTATTCATGTATAGTGAAAAGGAACCATCAAATCTGGATTTGAATGTGGTTCTAACACTTGCTCTTGGCAAGGTATTTTTCCTTTGAGTTCCAGTTTCTTTTTAGGGTTAAGTGGGAGGAATACTGCCTGTTTCACAGGTGTGTTATGGAAATGCCTAGAGCACAGATGATTAGTAAAAGCGGCCATGGACTTAACCGAGTGCCTGGGGAAGAGCTAGGGAGTGTGTGGAGGAGCCTGTGCTTAGACCCTCTAAATCAGCTGTATTTTCTGCCCAAGACCACAGGAGTTTCCCTCCAGAAGCAGGATTACCAGTGGTGGGTTTTCTTTGTGATTTTTTATATTTTCCAAATTTCTCCAGTGAACATATGCTTAATAATTTGGAAATACACTTTAAAAGATTGTTTTTAAGTTTATTTACTTTTAGAGGGTGCGAGGGGCAGAGAGAGAATCCCAAGCATGCTCGTGTGTGCTGTCCGTGCAGAGCCCGCCGTGGGGCTTAATCTCACAAACCTTGGGACCATGACCTGAGCCGAGATCAAGAATGGATGCTTAACTGACTGAGCCACCTAGGTGCCCCTAAAAGATGTTAAGTAAGATAAAGTATTCTCGTAACCTGTTTAGCCTAACGGCTTCTGAAGTTCTGTATTTTGCTACACAAATGGCAAAATACTTGAATTTATAAATGTACCTAATTGTATCTCTGGAAATTGAATAAGTTAAAATTCCTGTATTTGCAATTGATTTATTTTTAAATTTTTACTTAAAAGTAGGCTACACACCTGACATGGGGCTTGCATTCATGACCCTGAGATGAAGAGTTCATGTTCTACCAACTGAGCCAGCCAGGTGCTCCCCCTGACCCACTTTTTAAAATATTGTGGGGGTAGGTTTTGTTTTTGTTTTGTTTGCAATTGACTTAATCTTAAAATCAAAAAATGACCATGAACTTCTCAGCTCATTCCCAAGAATTGTTTTGCTTTCCATTGACCCCATCTTCATTCTGATTCTTAACAAACATACCACATATTGGACAATTTCAGTTTCCCCAGTTTGTTAAAGAACTCAAAAATAGTAGCCTTTAAAATGTAAACTTGGTATAAGAGGTTTCAAAATGTTTTTTTTTTAGTTTGTTTGTTTAAGTAATTTCCATACACAACATGGGGCTTGAATTCACAACCCCAAGATTAAGAGTCATGCTCTTGTGACCGAGCCAGCCAGGCGTCCTGGTTATAAAAGTTTTAATATGAAATGCTAAAACTTATCCAGGATAAGTTAAACACTTGGGCATGTTGAAGGGCTGGGAATAATTTTTTATTCTCTCCCTCAGGCTTTATGTGCTTAGTACATATTAAGTTGTTGGATAGTTGAATTTAAAGAGTGATGAGGGTCTGGCCTTTGGAAGTGTTCTTCTGTACTTAAAATTCACCCTGAGACTAGAGGGCAAGGATGGATGATGGAAAAAATCTGAAATGGCACCATTGTCTGTCTAGTTTGATGACATCTCTCAGCAGCATGAGGGATAATCATCTTTAAAAATGTCAAACTCAAAGCATTCCTAATTACTCTTCGTGATTCATTATAGATCCATCACCCATGATCCACTTAAGTCAGCTAACCCAATTTAAGTTAAAATCATCTCCAGCTACAGACGGGCTTAGCAAGCCCAGGTTATTTATTTAAAATTTTGACTGGTGAAGAAACCTAGATATGACCTTTGGTAAATAGATTGGTTTCATCCCAATCTTCGAACATAAATAAATTGTTCTAAATTGTGATAAGTCATACATACAAAAGTGCATAAAATGTATGTACAGTTTAAAGAAAATGATAAACACCATGTGAGTGTACCATGTACAACAACCCAGGTTGAGAAATAGAACATTACGGACACCTTAGCAGCTCTCTATACAGTAGTCCCCCCTTATCTGCGGTTTCCCCTTCTGTGGTTTCAGTTACCTGCGGTCAACCGCGGTCCAGAAGCAGATGATCCTTCTGACGTATGGTCAGGACAGTCGTAGCACTAGGCCTATGTCATTTACCTCACTTCATCTCATCACATAGGCATTTTCTCATCTCCTATCCTCACAAGAAGAAGGGTGAGTACAGTACGATAAGACATTTTGAGAGAGAAACCACATTCACATAACTTTTATTTTACAGTATATTGTAGTTCTGTTATTAGCTATTGTTAATCTTTTACGTTGCTTATTTATAAATTAAACTTTACCATAAGTGTGTATGTATAGGAAAAACTATTTAGGGTTCAGTGCTATCCACTAGGAGGTCTTGGAACAGATCCCACATGGATAAGGGAAACTACTGTGTGCTTTTCTCCTGTT